TCGCGTATTAAAAGATTTAATGAATATGAATTGCTTAAAAAATGAATTTAAAATAAAAGACTCAGAAAGAACAAAAAGTTACTTTGGATTACAAATTGAATTTTTATATTTGAATAAACTTATACAAGGAAGGTCGAGAAACAAGGGAAAAAAAAACAGAGAATTATAATAAGGTCAAAAAAAATTACAAAATAAGTTTTAAATATTATTATTCTCCAATTTAAAATTTGTCATTACATGCTGCTCAGGTGGTTATTAGAATTTTTTAGTAATTATTTCTCTTTCTCGGGACTTGATTGTAATTCTCCCAAAAAAAGGGCTTGAAATATTTTTTATGTGGATAAATTACATTTATTATGTGCTTCGATAGTCATAAGATCTTTAGATATGAATTAAAGATCTGTTTAGACCTTAAGAAACTAATAAATAAACATTTGGTTTAGAAATACTATGTTGTTGTTATTGGAGCACTTTGTATCTAGATAGTCACAAATGACTTAATATACTATTTGCTAATTAACTTGATATAGTTCTTCATCAACACGAAGAAATTAAAATGAAATTAAACACTTTCTTTGATACTTTAATAGTACTGTGGAGATGATATTATTTTATCTAAATGTGTCCAGGGCTAATCTTATTGGCTATGTCAATATTGGATTCTTTTTTATCTTATGTGAAAGGATCATAGTATGATCTGCATGTCAGTAGACTACAAACAGACTATCCCTTGCGATCTTTAAAAGATTGTGAAATTAATATTATTCATATTTATCTCACTATAATATTTGAAAGGCATATTCATGATATTAGATTTTGCAAACTCAAAGATATCAACTGGTATTACTAAGAGAGAGAATTGATACACACTATACTGCTCTTTTTTCCTTGTACGTGGTTTTATCCCATTGAGGTTTTTCTAACAACTCCTCCTCTTGATAATATCAGTTGAAAGGAATAAGAAATATTCTTCTCTTCTTTCTAATTCTCTCCTCTTTATTTTTATAACATCATGTTTGTTTATGTGAAACTCAGATTTTTAGTAGTAACTAAAAAATACTCTCCATCCTCTATATGCATACTATAGAATAATATTGTCTCTGCTTCTTATTATAAGACATCTTCTAGAAGCAATTTTTTGTCATGAATATAAGTTATCAACTAACCCATTAATTGTTCCTCTCCAATTTTATCCCAATTATTATTAATTAAGGGTTTAGTGTTAATAAGTTCATCGAACTCCATGTTTCTCTACCCACATCATTTAAATTGGGGACAAATTTTAAAAAAAATTATTAATTGAGGATAGATTTAATGCTTTAGTTGTTATTAGGGGTGTTCAATTGTGTCCCGTCCCAATGTCCCATCTCTGTCCCAATCATTTTGGGATAAGACAATCCCGTCTCGAAAGCTTTTGGATTGGGATGAAAGCAGGACTGGACAAAATTATTTTGGAATAGAACAGGACGCGAGATGTGTAACATCCCAAATTTATTTAGGTTTTAGATACAATAAAATAAAATTAATTAATATTAAAAAAAAATTAATATTTTTTTAATATTAATTAATAAAATAAAATAAAATAAATTTATTTAGGAATAAAGGTATATTAAAAAAATTAATTGAAAAAGATAAGTTTGTTAATTGTAGATACAATAAAATACATATAATATTTTTTTAAAAAAAAATAAATCGGTTATATGTATATATAAACGGTTATTACACACACAGATATATATATATATATATATATAAATCAAACATCTTTGAATAGGAAGAATAAATAATGATATAATAATATAAGATAGATTGGAATTCAAATTTGAATCTGTTATACGAATTTTAATAAAATATATATAATTATATATACAAAAAAATAGATTTGAGTTTAATTTAAATTAAAAAAAAAAACTTTGAATGATTCTGGCAGATTTCATATCAGTCGGTTATCTACTTAAGATTAATGAAATTTCCATAATAATAGTAATTTCAATAATAATAGTAAGATAAAGTAATTAATTAATTAAATGAAGATTTATTAATTTTAAAAATATAATAACTTAACCCTAGTCCTACCCACTCATTCTTTATCTTTTAGCCGCCACTCAGTTTCTTCTTTAGCTTTTCCGCTACCGTAGACTGGTGGTTTCAGAAAGCGTTACTCCTGCTTTACTCTAAACATCCCATCTTCATAAATCAAATTAGATTCAAGGTAAACTTTTCCATTCTTGTTTCTCATCTCTTTTTATATTACCTTTTTCATAATTTCTCTTTACCTCATTCCTTTCGTCCTTTCTCCTTAGTCCACCGTAGGCCTTCTTATCACCATCATCTCCAAGACATATACATTTGTTAAGGTGTGTACCTACTTTTATGTTCCTTTTTCGTACATCTCTCCCTTGTATCATGTGTTTTTGTTTTAGATTCTGCCTCTTCGTAAGACTATGCACATATATATGCTTGATAGAAATATAAATAAATATATGCGCCTCTATATATATATATATATATATATTATCATCTTCTACCTCGTTTCGGTTTTACTCCCCTCTAGTCATAGGTGTGTACATTCATATATTGGTATCCACAAGTCATTTAGCAACATAGATAAAACAAATTTACCCCCTGTTAGCATTAAAAGATGGGATAATGGCTTAAGAAAAAGAAAACACACATATATATATAAAGGACCCATAAGTGTTAGGGATCGGTGGATTTTTTTTTTTAAATGAGTGTTCCCTTAAATCATTTATATATAAAATTATATATATATTCACATAATAGGTTAAAATAAATAAATAATGGGAAATTGTGTAAACTGAATATATGTATGAAATTCATGGTTAGTTATAAATAGGTGTGAATTTAAAAGGGTCTCTTGACAGCTTTAAAATAATATTTGAAATCAATAATATGTAAGAAATTTGTGATCCTAAAATTCAAGAAGACTTAATTAGAGGCCTGTGGCATAGATTTAAAACTTAAATGGCCTTTAGGAAAAATCTTAGAGTAGCTTTGAGATAAACTTGAATAGCTCAAATTATAATTTGACTCGGTATTTGTATAATTTTGTAGACTCTCACTGAGAGCCTTATTGCTTGGAATTTTTGTTTCACTACTGAGGAGCAAATGGAGCCAGGTAACTTGGGGTTTTTTTATGTGTGTGCAAACTTTATCCATCATGATTAAAATTGTATTGACTCTATCGACTTAATTGTTACAAATAAATAGATAGGACTAAAAAGGTGAAAGAATAAAATTGTATTATCTTCTATGTTATTTGAATTCTCCTTTAAGCATAAATGTGTCTTGGATATTTTTGTGAAAAATATATGGTAATTTGTTTTCTTTCAAGCATGCTTGCATATACTGGATTTGTTATATATTCATGACATGCATAGGCGGTTGGACTTGGGAGTTTATAATATTGATATATGCGACAACTTGTGACCATGTGGTTTGCCTCCACTTAGCGCAAAGTGGTTGGCCTTTTTAGGGCCCCGTTCCTTAATACTTACCGGGCCAAGTTTGTAGAGGGGGAACATGGGACAGTGACACCTCCTAGTTCTTTTAAGGAGTGGAGCCATAGTCTAGGCTTGGACTCTGTATCCTTGGCCAGATACATCCTAAGTACTGGAGTAGTTTTGGTCAGTCCAGTGTGTGGGCCAGACCGTTTATAAGCCTATGGTTCCAGTCAGCGGAATAAGGTTGGATGGAGCAATAAGGGTGGAAGCATCCATTGCATATGAACATGGTATATTATTGAATTAGTTACATATTTTGCTAATGATTATTTAAGCCATTGCAATATCTGTTTGCTTAGCCAATATGAAAATGTTTGGGTAATGGTTGTATCTACATGGTTGAACTCTGGGTTACTGAGACGTTTGTGCTCACTCCAATTATTTAACATTTTTCCAGGTGACAATCCTTATAGGGAGCAAGGGAAGGTACCAGAGGAGTGAGCTAGTAGCTCTTATACTTCTCAAGTACATGCTGAATTAATTTGATTCTTTACTATTTGCCATGACCCTAGAGCATCAAATTAGTATTTTGTTAATTCCTTGAATGGATAGATTTTAGCGTTTCATTTCAAGTTTTATCCACGGGTTATGTTATGTTAGACCTTGAGACTGCAAGCTTGGACATTTATGCTCGAATTATATTATGGGTTTAATTGCTCATGTTTACTTGTGGTGATTAAAAGGCTGAGTCCTTTAGTGTAAACTTTATTATTGAGACCTTAAGATCAAACTAGTTTTTACATGGTGTTTTAAGTAGCTTAGAAAATTGGGTGTTACATTTTTTGTATCAGAGCCATAACGTTCCGTGGCCTTTTCTATTTTTATTTTTATTGCTATTTTCCACTAAGATCTAGTTAGAGGTCATGGCAAGTAGATATTAGTATGTGCCCTTCCCTTCCCCTTGTATATCCTATTACTTTAATTATTTCTCTTCCTTTGGCTAACGTTAACGTGTATGGTGGCCTTACATAGGAGGGGAGAAGAATGGTGAACACTAGACGAACTAGACAGCTAACCAACACAAACCCACCTTCATCACCTCATCAAAATCATTCACAGGGCAACGATGCCATTTTGAGGGAATTAAGAGATGCAGTCCAAAACATAGGACAGATATTGAACAGGCATGAAGAACAACTAGCTGCAATGAAAGAACAGAGTAATAGCCCTGCCAAGGGAAAAAGCCCTCTTATCGAAGAACCCAGTGATTGCCATTCTGCGGGGGGCTCCAAGCATGGGTCTGGTGGTAGTACTAACAAGCTCTCCCAACCTGAACTTACTAAGATCACTCAAATTTGGGAGAGTTTCCAGAAGTTCAACCCTCCAATATTTGAAGGAAAACTCAACCTAACTGAAGCTGAGGAATGGGTGAAGCGAGTAGAAAAGATCTTCAGGATTGTCCAATGCACCTCCCATCAAAAGGTGCGACTAGCTGAGCAGTTGTTATAAAAAGCAGCCCAGCAGTGGTGGGATAGTATGAAACCAGATGATGATGTAGACACTACTTGGGAAGAATTCAAAGATAAATTAATGCAACATTATTTCTCTCCAGTTATTAGAGTTGAGAGAGAGGCTGCATTTTATGCTTTTAAACAAGAGAATCTGCACGAAGATGAGTTCATTGCTCGCTTTTTGGAACTGTCTAAATATAGTACTTACCTTCAGGAGCACCACAATCCAAAATGGATGTGTGAGCGATTGTTAGAGAAAGCTAGGCCAGAATTGAGGACAGCATTGGCACCGTTTGAGATAGAGGACTTTGAAAAGTTATGCACTAAGTTGCGCATCACTGCTAGAAGGATGAGGGAAGAAGAAGCAGAAAAGAGGAAGGAATCCCAAGGCAAGTATGCCTCTTTCATGAGACCTACTGGGGGTGTCAGTAAGAGGAACAATTATAGTGTTGGAGGATCAAGTAAGCGACCCCAACAACCTTCAAGGAGCCAGTTCAGTGGGCCTCCAAGAAACCAGTTCAATGGACCTCCAAGGAATCAGTATAGCGGACCTTCAAGGAGCCAGTTTATGGGAGGACAAAATTCTGCGAAGGGTTCTTTTGCTCCTGCCACTAGTACAGCAAATAGCCAAAGGTGTGCCAAGTGTGGGAGGATGCATTTGGGAAACAGGTGTTTAATATGCTTTAGGTGTGGAAAGCCAGGCCATGTTGCTAGATTTTGTGAGGCTGACTCATTAGGAGCTCATGAGAATCGAAACATTGTTCCAGGCAGGGTGTTTGCAATGACCCAACAAGAGGCGAATGGAGCACCAAATCTCATAAAAGGTACTCTCAAACTCCAAGGCTTTGAAATTAAAGCTCTTTTTGATTCCGGGGCAACCCATTCATTTGTATCTAATAATTGTGTGCTGTGATTGAAATTGTGTGTTTATAAAATGCCTTATGATATGATTGTCTCTACACCGGCTAGAGCTTCAATAAGAACCTCCCAGACTGCATTCAATTGTGTGCTTGAGTTTGATGGTAAGATTTCACCTATAGATCTAGTTTGTTTACCCTTACGGGGTATCAATCTCATAGTGGGAATGGACTGGTTATCCGCAAACCATGCCATCCTTGACTGTAAAAGGAAGATTGTTTCCCTACCAGCTGCTCTGAATCTTTCCAACAGACCACAACTACTGTCATCTGCACAAGTTGAGAGATGTATTCGAAAGGGGTATGAGGCTTATATGGTATTCTTCTCCATTCAAGCTGAAGTGGAAGAGGGAGTTGAAGATATAGTGAGAGTAAGTGAATTTCCTGAAGTGTTTCCTAAGGATATCATAGGTTTGTCCCCAAAAAGAGAGGTAGAATTTGCAATTGACCTTGTGCCTGGAATGGAGCCCATCTCTAAAGCTCCTTATCGGATGGCTCCAGTAGAGTTAGCAGAGGTAAAGAAGCAGATTGAAGAATTAATGGAGAAGGGTTTCATAAGGCCCAGTGTTTCCCCTTAGGGATCACCAGTACTTTTTGCGAAGAAGAAAGATGGAAGCACGAGATTATGTATCGATTATTGCCAACTAAACAAGATAACTATAAAGAATAAATATCCTCTACCACGAATTGATGATTTGCTTGACCAATTGAATGGAGCGGCTGTTTTCTCCAAAATCGACTTGAGGTCAGGTTACCACCAGTTATGAGTTCGAGCTGAAGATATCTCGAAAATTGCATTCCATACTAGATATGGGCACTATGAGTTCCTAGTCATGCCATTTGGGTTGACTAATGTCCCGGTAGTCTTCATGGATTACATGAATAGGATCTTTATGCCCTATTTGGATAAATTTGTGGTGGTCTTCATTGATGATATCCTTATATACTCTAAAGATGAAAAAGAGCATGAGGGGCACCTTAGAATGATACTGCAAGTATTAAAGGAGCATAAGCTCCATGCAAAGCTATCCAAGTGTGAATTTTGGCTCAAGGAAGTTAAGTTTTTGGGACATGTTGTGTCAGCAGAAGGGGTGTCTGTAGACCCTAACAAGGTTGAGGCAGTGTTGAATTGGGAAAGACCACAAAGTGTGACCGAGATCAGGAGTTTTCTAGGTTTGGCAGGTTACTATAGAAGATTTATTAAGGGATTCTCACAGATAGTCATGCCTTTAACAAAGTTGACAAAGAAGGATTGTGTATTTCTTTGGACCGAAAAGTGTGAGGTAGCATTCCAAGAACTGAAAACCAGATTGACTACAGCACCTGTGCTTGTGATCCCTGACCCCATGCAACCATTCACATTATACACAAACGCTTTGAAGGGTCTTGGGTGCGTGTTAATGCAAAATGGTAAGGTTATCGCTTACGCCTCAAGACAATTAAGGCCACATGAGGAGAATTATCCTACACATGACTTAGAACTGGCAGCATTGGTATTCGCTCTAAAGATTTGGAGGCACTATCTTTATGGTTCACGATTTGAAGTCTTTAGTAATCATAAAAGTTTGAAATATCTGTTTGACCAAAAGGAACTCAACATGAGACAAAGAAGGTGGATGGAATTTTGAAAGACTATGATTATGAGTTGAAGTACCATCCTGGAAAAGCTAATGTTGTCGCAGATGCTCTAAGCAGAAAGTCTATCCATGCAGCTCAAATGATGGTTCGAAAGCAGAGACTACTGGAATATGCCCAAAATGTCCCTATTGAGATCTTTGGGTTGTGTGCTGCTATGGAAGCATTAACAATAGAGAGGTTGACATGGAAAGAAGTTAAGTTTGCACAACTAGAGGATGAACTTTTGTTAAGACTTAGAGAAGAAGTTGAGGAAGGAAGGGGTAAAGACTTTGAGGTTGGCAATGATGGGCTCCTACGATACAGAGGAAGAGTATGCCTTCCTAATGATGACAGGCTGAAGACACTTATATTGGATGAGGCTCATAGGAGTAAATACACCATCCATCCTGGGGCGACTAAAATGTATCATGACTTGAAGAATGATTGGTGGTGGCCAGGAATAAAGAAGGATGTAACTGATTTTGTCACTCGCTGCTTGACTTGTCAACGGGTCAAAATTGAACATCAAAAACTCCAGGACCATTGCAAAACTTAAGCATCCCGAAGTGGAAATGGGATAGCATTACTATGGATTTCATTATGGGTTTACCTAGAACCCCTTCAGGGCATGTTGCCATTTGGGTAGTCGTGGATCATTTAACTAAATCGGCTCATTTTCTACCAATCAAGGCTAACTACCCATTGGAGAAGCTCACTCAGATTTATATGGATGAGATAGTTAGGTTGCGCGGGGTGCCAGAGAGTATTGTGTCGGATCACGACCCACATTTTACTTCACAGTTCTGGAAAACATTGCATCACTCTCTAGGTACTCGACTGAATTTTAGCACCGCTTATCACCCTCAAACTGACGGACAGTCTGAGAGAACCATCTAAACTCTTGAAGATATGTTACGAACTTGTGCAGTTGAGTTGAAAGGAAGCTGGGATAGTCATCTTACACTTGCCAAATTTGCATATAACAACAGTTTTCATTCTAGCATCCAAATGGCCTCATATGAAGCACTGTATGGAAGGAAATGTAGATCTCCCCTTTGTTGGACCGAGTTGAGTGAGAGAAGCATATTGGGACCTGACTTAGTGGATCAAACCACCCAGAAAATTGAGTTAGTTAAACAAAAACTACGCACGGTTCAAAGTAGACAGAAAAGCTATGCTGATAGGCGGAGACGACCGTTGGAGTTCATGGTAGGTGACTATGTGTTCTTAAGGGTCAAACCGATGATAGGCATTGGAAGATCAATCAGAGCCAAGAAGTTGACTCCTAGATTCATGGGTCCTTATGAAATTCTGGAAAGAGTTGGGCCGGTAGCTTACATGATTGCTTTGCCCCCTCAATTGGCCAATGTCCATAATGTATTTCATGTATCACAGTTGAAGAAATATCATCTAGACCCCTCCCACATCATTGAGCCCTAGGAGATAGAGATTTAGGAAAATATGACCTATAACGTGGAACCAGAAAAAATCGTAGATGTTAGGGATAAACAATTAAGAAACAAAACTATTCGACTTGTTAAGGTCGTATGGAGGGGAATGACCCTAGGTGATGCTACTTGGGAAACCGAAGAAAAGATGAAACAAGAATACCCCCATTTGTTTTCTTAGGTATGTATTTAAATTATATGCTTGTATTTGTTTGATATGTTGTTTTGTTTGCAATTGCTTGTCTTGGTTTGGTACTTCTAAATTTTGAGGACAACATTTCTTTTAGGAGGGTAGAATTGTAACATCCCAAATTTATTTAGGTTTTAGAGTTAGTTAGTTAATATATATATATGAATTACATATATATATATATATATATGTATAATGTTTGGAACGAGTAAATTTTCCTTTATTATTTAAAAGGTATATTAAAAAAAATTAATTGAAAAAGATAAGTTTGTTAATTGTAGATATGGTAAAATACATATAATTTTTTTTAAAAAAAAATAAATCGGTTATATGTATATATAAACGGTTTTCACACACACATATATAAATCAAACATCTTTGAATAGGAAGAATAAATAATGCTATAATAATATAAGATAGATTGGAATTCAAATTTGAATCTGTTATACGAATTTTAATAAAATATATATAATTATATATACAAAAAAACAGATTTGAGTTTAATTTAAATTAAAAAAAATTTTGAATGATTCTGGTAGATTTCATATCATTCGGTTATCTACTTAAGATTAATGAAATTTCCATAATAATAGTAATTTCAATAATAATAGTAAGATAAAGTAATTAATTAATTAAATGAAGATTTATTAATTTTAAAAATATAATAACTTAACTCTACTTCCTACCCACTCATTCTTTATCTTTTAGCCGCCACTCAGTTTCTTCTTTAGCTTTTCCGCTACTGTAGACTGGTGGTTTTCAGAAAGCGTTACTCTGCTTTTACTCTAAACATCCCATCTTCATAAATCAAATTAGATTCAAGGTAAACTTTTCCATTCTTGTTTCTCATCTCTTTTTATATTACCTTTTTCATAATTTCTCTTTACCTCATTCCTTTCGTCCTTCCTTCTTAGTCCACCGTAGGCCTTCTTATCACCATCATCTCCAAGACATATATATTTGTTAAGGTGTGTACCTACTTTTATTTTCCTTTTTTGTATATCTCTCCCTTGTATCATGTGTTTTTGTTTTAGATTCTGCCTCTTCGTAAGACTATGCACATATATATGCTTGATAGAAATATAAATAAATATATGCGCCTCTATATATATATTATCATCTTCTACCCCGTTTCGGTGTTCCTCCCCTCTAGTCATAGGTGTGTACATTCATATATTGGTATCCACAAGTCATTTAGCAACATAGATAAAACAAATTTACCCCCTGTTAGCATTAAAAGATGGGATAATGGCTTAAGGAAAAAAAATTTATATATATATTTATATATATATATAAAGGACGCATAAGTGGTAGGGATCGGTGGATTTTTTTTTTTAAATGAGTGTTCCCTTAAATCATTTATATATAAAATTATATATATTCGCATAATAGGTTAAAATAAATAAATAATGGGAAATTGTGTAAACTGAACATATGTATGAAATTCATGGTTAGTTATAAATAGGTGTGAATTTAAAAGGGTCTCTTGACAGTTTTAAAATAATATTTGAAATCAATAATATGTAAGTGATTTGTGATCCTGAAATTCAAGAAGACTTAATTAGAGGCCCGTGGCATAGATTTAAAACTTAAATGGCCTTTAGGAAAAATCTTAGAGTAGCTTTGAGATAAACTTGAATAGCTCAAATTATAATTTGACTTGGTATTTGTATATGTAGACTTTCACTGAGAGCCTTATTGCTTGGAATTTTTGTTTCACTACTGAGGAGCAAAGGGAGTC